TATTCGGCAACGTCTGGTGTACGTGGAGGTAAGATATTGCGTATAATAGTCGGTATCTGTTGTTCAAGCACCTCTTGTGGAAAGCGGTTAGTTTAAAGGGCGGGTATGATGGTATTTGGTTCAAAAGAGTAATTTATTTAAACGTTGTTTTTTCAGTACGTCGCTTTTTTCTTTTCCCAGTAAGGCTTTTAGTTTTTTTTTATAGTTGTTTTTCCTGTCCTAGGCAAACAGGCTTTCTGCGATAAACAGTCAGCTGTATCGTTTTTGCGTGACAGTCCTAAACGTTGATATTCCTTTAAATTTGTCCATGTCGCTGTAATTTTGAACTAAAGAGCACTGCTCTCACAACGTTAATCTAAACTGGGCCTGTGCATGTTGGCTGTAGTAGTTCAGGCGGGGAGCTGCGTGGCTGCAAAGGAACAAGCAAGAGGTTTATTCCATGCTGAAAAAAAGAAGAGAACAACCTGAAGAAGGCTCCATGGCCGATGTTCTTTCTTCTTTTTTTCCCAGCATGGAATAAACCTATTACTTGTTCCCGTGCATGTTGGTACCACTGTCCCGTGTAAAGCCACCCCAGAGTTTGTGGTTTTTCCACACTCTGCCGGTAGATGGCACTCTTGTATTTTGATTTTTTTTTTAAAGCAGTTACAAACGTGCTCGTCAGCCTGACGGTAATTACTATCGGATAGGATCTCCTCCAGCCGTTACTAGGAAGAGGCGATGCCATTGCCTTTGACAACGTGCTTCTATAGCTTCTTGCAAACGTCCAGCATGTTTGCGCGTAAAGAAGCGCCTCTTGTTCTTCTTTCTAAAATCTCGTTCCCGACGCTTCCGCCCGAGTCTCCTGGCTCGTGTTGCGATGGGTTGACCGGGTTCCCTGTGCGTTTTGAAGAATTTGAACGCTTGTATCGGGGAGATTTTTTATCATTTTCTCTACTTCCTCTTAAAGGTATTCAGTTCATCTAGCCTACGAGCGTACGACAGGGCTTTGCGCTTGTGAATCTGCGAATTGCTCTCGGAACAGCAGTATATACTGTATATTTTTTTGTAAGGTGGTGTCCATGCACAGTCATTTTAACTGAGGTCTTGTGTTGTACAGTAGTGATAAATGTATC